TTAGGAGTTCCTAAATTCGAAGCATGAGATGTAGAAAACTCAAATGGTTACGGCGTCGCTGTGGAATTCTCTGGTTTGTGAAACTAGTGAGATGTGCATGTTTTTTAATACTCCCAATGACATCTTGGATGCAATTGAGCAAAGGCCAGAGAGATGATGCTCGAGTATACGTAGTCAAGGTTAAAAACTGTTAGAGAAGTATAAAACCATTAAGGTAGTCTCACCCAACATTTTAAACTTTTGGGTTGAATCGGTTCTTTACATGGTATCAGAGCTTCAGTGACTACAGGAACATGAGTTCGATTCTCACCGCTCCATTCTAATTAAATTTGTAAAGTTTTTTAGCATGGGTAGGTGGACCTGTGCATTATCCACCCTTCAAGCCTAGTAGGCTCTCGTGTGAGGGGGCGCGTTAGAGAAGTATAAAACTATTAAGGTAGTCTCACCCAACAACGTAAGCTTTTTGGTTGAATTGGTTCTTTACAAAAACAGTGGAGGCAAAGGAGGGAAACACAACAGTTACGGAGTATGCCAATCAATTATAGTCCTTATGGAAGGAACTACATCGCTATAGAGTGATAAAAACCAAATGCCCAGATGATGCAGTTGTGTCAAGGGACTTCATCAAGCAAGACAGAGTCTGATTTTCTTGTTGGACTTATTTGTTTAGGTCTATATAATAATGTGAACCAAAGTACAATATTATTTGTAAGAAATATGGTTCAATATTTCTCCATTGAAGTATTTTAGTTCTTTATGAATGTCTCTTTTTCAGATTTCTTGTGATTGTGTTTGTAGAATATTCTAGAGTATTATAATTAGCTTTTATTAGCTACTAGTTGTTAGTCTCTTTGATTATTGTGTCAGTCTCTTTGATTATTGTGTCTTTTTATTACTCTTTATTGTTGCAACTCTTGAACTACCAATTGTAATCTGTATATAAGGAACCTTTTGGGTCTCAAACAATACATCAAAAAAATATTCAGAATTATATTCCATCATGGTATCAAGAGCAGGTTATCCTGTTGGCTAAATCAAAACACGTTTCTATCGTTTCTTTTAAACACATCTCTGCCATCTTCCTGAAATCCCACCTAGACACCTCAAATCACGAAACCAAGGCCACCATTGACTCCAGACGCAATTTTTTGGACGACCCACACCAGCCCCGTCGCTGAAAAGTGTCCCACGCGCGTATGGGCCACGTGCTGCCCTGCTAGTGTCCGTTTGCGGTGGGGCTTGGTCCGTTCTTCTCGTTTCTCTCTTCCTGCTTTGAGGTTTCAAATCACGTTTGGAGAAACTTTTTATTGGGGACCTGTTCTTCTCTTCTGTTGTAAACTATGGATTCTGAAAATTCTGAAGGTGTTTTCATCTCTAAGGCTCAATATGAGCAATTTAAGAAGGTGATGTCTCAATCTGCTGAGGCAATTAGTCATGTTGTTCAACAAGGTATGACATTCTATGTTGATCGTAGTAGTTATTGGATTCTTGATTCAGGAGTTTATGATCATATGACAGGTAATGCAACCTTGTTTTGTTCTTATACTGCTTACTATCACCTGTCACGAATAAGAATAGCTGATGGCAACTTCTCTATTGTGGGAAAATGATCTATTAAACTTTCTGAACATATTACTTTGAACTCTGTCCTTCATGTTCCTTCTGTTACTTGTAACCTCATCTCTATCAGGAAACTTACCTCTTAGTTGCACTGTATTGCTAAGTTCTCTGCCTATGCTTGTGTTTTTCAGGGACAGGACTCAGGGATGATGATTGGCAGTGCTAGAGTGGATGAAGAGCTCTACTATTTTGAAGAGGATCCATATGAAAAGAAATTTTTTGCAAATCACTCTTTATGTTTGTCTGATAATTGCAATGATGTTCTGTTGTGGCATCGTCGGTTGGGACACCCAAATTTCTTTTATCTTCAAAAGTTTTCCCCAAACATATTTATCAATCAAAAACCAAGTTTTTTTTTTGTGATATTTGTCAGTTTGCAAAACATTCTCGTGATTCTTATTCCCCTAGAGGTTATCATGATTCTTCTCTATTTACCTTGATTCATAGTGATCTATGGGGACCAACTCGTGAAAAAAATATCTCTAGTGCTCGTTGGTTTATTACTTTCATTGATGATCATTCTAGGGTATGTTGGGTATATCTTCTAAAAGATAAGTCTGACGCTGCATCCACTTTTAAAAACTTCTATGTTATGGTTCAAACTCAAGTCCAGACCTCTATCCAAATCTTGGAACTGATAATGGTACTGAATATTTTAATTTTGTTCTTGGGGATTACCTAACCCAATATGGTATTGTTCATCAAAGTTCTTGTCCTAACACACCTTAACAAAATGGGGTGGCTGAAAGAAAAAATAGACATCTCATTGAAGTTGCTCGAGCCCTCTTGTTTACGATGCATGTCCTTAAATATCTGTGGGGCGAAGCTGTCTTGACTGCATCCTATCTCATCAATCGGATGCCTTCTCGTGTCCAGAATTTTCAGTCTCTTTTATCTTGTCTTACCCACACCTTTCCTCCAAAGTTGTTTGGTTGTCTGATTTTTGTTCATATTCCTCCCATCAAAGGTCCAAACTTGATCCCAAGTATATTAAATGTGTCTTCATAGGATATCCTCCCAACCAAAAAGTTTACAAGTGTTACTTTCCTTCTTTCCGTAAGGTCTTTGTTTCTATGGATGTCACCTTTTATGAGACACAATCCTTTTTTTCTTCGACTTCTCTTTAGGGGGAGTCTATTGGTGTAGATGAAGATAAGTCTTGAAAACTAAATGATTCTGCTGTCTTACCTGTACCTTTGAAGACAGGGGGAGTTATTGTGCAGGAAACAGGGGGAGCAACTGCACTAGGGACTGGAGATCCTCCGGGTAAATGGGAAAATTTTTATAGCTGGCGTAAATCACCTCAGAACCCTTTAGACTGCCAGGATTTTGACTCGAGTCCTAGTTCCAACAACCCAATACTTGAATGCACTGATGCAACCGACCTAGATGTGCCAATTGCTCTTCGAAAAGGTACTAAATCTTGCACTGCTCATCCTATTTCTCATCATATCTCGTATGAAAAGTTATCCCTAGGTTTTCGTGCTTTCAACACCATGTTAGGTAGTACAAAAATACCAGAAAAATCCAAGAAGCACTTGATGACCCAAAATGGAGGAATGTAGTCTTTGAAGAAATGGATGCACTTACAAAAAATGGAACTGGGGAGTCCATAGCATTACCCAGAGGAAAGAAAATTGTAGGTTGCAAGTGGGTGTTCACAATAAAATTTAATGCAGATAACAACATCAATACGTATAAGGCCAGATTGGTTGCTAAGGGATTTACTCAAACTCATGGGATAAATTATCAGGAGACATTTGCTCCTGTTTCCAAACTCACACTATCCGAGTTCTACTATCACTTACTGCCAACCTTGATTGGCCCTTGCAACAATTAGATGTAAAGAATGCCTTCTTTAATGGTGATTTGCATGAGGAAGTTTACATGGATCCGCCAACTGGTTCAGTATGCAACATGAAGAAGTGTCTCTATGGGCTTAAACAATCTCCAAGAGAGTGGTTTGAAAAGTTTACTCAAGCTGTTAAGGGAAAAGGATTCGTCTAAGCTCAGATTGATCACACTTTATTTTTTAAACACTCGGACAGTGGTAAGATTGCTATTCTCATTATTTATGTTGATGACATAATTGTCATAGGTAATGGTTGTGAGGAGATAAGCTCTTTGAAGAAGTGTTTAGCTAATCAGTTCGAACTGAAGGATCTTGGATCTTTCAAATATTTCCTTGGCATGGAGGTGGCTCGTAGTAAAGCAGGAATTTCTTTAACTTAGAAGAAATATATTCTAGATCTGTTACAAGAAACATGAATGCTTAGGTGCAAGCCAACAATTGAACCTAATATTAAATTGGGAATTGAGGACGGGAAAGATGTTGACAGGGAGCAGTACTAGAGGTTGGTGGGGAAGCTGATCTATTTATCTCACACTCGGCTTGATATTGCATTTCGAGTTAGTATGGTTAGCCAATTCATGCATTCTCCTAAGGAGAAACACCTTAGTGCAGTTTATAGAATCATCAAATACCTCAAAAACACCTCTGGTCGAGGAATGCTCTTTAAAAGAGGACATAAGAGGATGATTGAAATCTATACAAATGCAGATTGGGCTGGCTCTGCAATGGACCGAAGATCCACTTCGGGATATTGTACCTATGTTTGGGGAAATCTTGTGACCTGGAGAAGTAAAAAACAAACAGTTGTTGCCAGAAGCAGTGCAGAAGCAGAATTTCGGGCTCTAGCCCATGGTATTTGTGAAGGAATCTGGTTAAGAAGAATTATTGAGAAATTGAAGATCTCTTATTCCCTACCTGTCAGATTGTATTCTGATAATAAGACTGCTGTTAGTATTGCTCAAAATCTTGCTCACCATAAGACTCCATAACAGAAAAAAACATGTGAAGGTTGATCGTCACTTTATCAAAGAAAAATTGGAGGATGGTAGTGTATGTTTGTCATACCTACTAAGGAGCAGACGAAAGACATTCTCAACAAAGGAATTAGCAAGTTATTAATATATATCTCCCAACTTGAGGGTGAGGGGGAGTGTAGAATATTCTAGAGTATTATAATTAGCTTTTGTTAGCTACTAGTTGTTAGTCTCTTTGATTATTGTGTTAGTCTCTTTGATTACTGTGTCTTTTTATTACTCTTTATTATTGCAACTCTTGAACTACCAATTGTAATCTGTATATAAGGAACCCTTTGGGTCTCAAACAATACATCAAAAAAATATTCAGAATCATATTCCATCAGTGTTACGTGTAGTGTGTTGCTAGTATTCTTAACAGCATATTTTCCATTCAGGCTTTTGTCCTTTTTTGTCTTATTTATATGTGAAGTTCATTTTCTGGAATTAAATTTGTAACTTTTAGTTGATGATAAGATTTTATTCTTTTCAATTCTTAACCTTTTGTCCTTCAGCCGGGCAACACAAAGTGTGGGTCTGCTATCCTATACCTTTTTGCGGAAAACTGGGCAAGATGACGTAATTGTTCCAATGGTGATATTTCTTTCCTCAAATGTTCAAATATGTAACAGGAAATGTTGTCTGCTTTCATATTTTTATACATTCAGTTTTGTTTTCCTTGCAGATAGATTTTGACATATCTGGCAATTGGGCCGAGCCAATTATTTATAGCTCACAGGATGATTGGTCAGACAACTTGAAAACAATTCTTGATTGGTCTCCCTTCACATCAAAGGAGGAGCTCATGGTTCAGGTTCATTTCATTCTGCTGTATATATATATTTTGGATATATATTTTATCATTTTTGGTAATATCTCAAGTTGCCATTTGCCTCTGAAGAACATAGCCTTGAGAAGTGTCATATGGGGTAATTTTATCATACACATTGTCCAAATTATGCACTCATTGATTGTGCATATGTTAGCTTCCTCCATTGCTTTGCAACTTTTTATTTTTTGATAAAAAATTTCATTAAGAGGAAGAGAAGAAATTACAATGGAGTATAAGAAATCCTCCTTAACAAAGAGACAAACACAAAACTAAGAAAAAAGAAAACATGAATGGAGAGGGGTTTCCCAATCCCACAATATGCTCGTCAAAACCCCTTAAAAGATCATGTGCCTTAAACCAAATAGAAGCCAAATGCCTAATGGATATTTGCTAGTCGTGAAATTTCATTCCTATGGATGTCCATGAGGTTTGTTAAAGTGAAAAGTTTGGAGCAGACTTTCTTTTTCCATTTTAAGAAGAGAAATGATTTAACAGTTACTTTCTGTCAGTGAGTCTATATATATTTCTAAACTTTTCTATTGTTCTGACATCAATTCTCATTATATTATGATGCTATAATCTATCAAACCACTACCCAAAACACTAGCTTGTGAACCACCTCCAAATGATGTTTGCAATAAAGTTGGTTAGCTATGGACTGCTTTTACTGATTAGTTTGTTTATACTTTTCAGTTTGATGATATAGGTCCACATGGAACCAAAATTGTAATATACAATTTGTGGTTGAATGACGAAGGAGTATACGAATTGAATTTTGATGATAATGCTGAGGTATGTTGTATTTCTTCATGGCTATGTGAACTTCTTTGTTTGAGTGTTTTGGAAAAGCAGTTTCAGATATGATTTACTGGTGGAGGAAAATATTTAAATTTATCTTGTTTATTATGCCTCGAAATGACAACGTTGGGGTAGGGAACGAACTTCTTTGTTTGAGTGTGTTTTGGAAATGCAGTTTCAGATATGATTTCCTGGTGGAGGAAAATATTTAAATTTATCTTGTTTATTATGCCTCGAAATGACAAGGTTGGGGTAGGGAACGAAGGGAAGGAGGAACATTCCCAAAAAAAAGGTAGGAAGGAGGAGAAGAAAGAAAGGAGGCTCTCAATAATATTATATGATATGGTGTATTTGAAATACAAAACAGTGACACGTATTTATACTAATAATTAGGTCAAGAACGGGTGTAGTACTACTAGTATAAGCACAAGGCTGCTAAAGCAAGATTCTTGGTCTAAATTATGTGTAGAAGCTAGCAAAAAAAGGTATGAACCAATTAAGATTGCTTCCTTGAGTAGATGACTAATTCATTCCACAATATATTTTGGAGATCTTCTAAGATACTTATTTATGCTAATAATCAGGTCCTAATGGTCCTTTTTTAGGCATTTTCCTATATATCTCCTTTTATTTCTTTTTTTACCTCTCCTTTTTTTTTTCTCCCTCTTTTTTTCCTTTATATTTTTCTTCTCTTATTTTTTTTTTTCCTCTTATTTATTTTCTTATTTTTCTCTTTTATTTATCTTTATTTTCACTTTATTTTATTTTATTTTTTTAATTATTTATTGCTATTTTTTAATTTCTAGTGTTTTTGATATTTTTTAATTTTATTTTTATCCTTTTTTTTTTCTTTTTCAAGCTTTTTTTTTTTTTTTTTTTTCATTTGGGTTCATCAGCCACCAGTCGCAACTAATTTGGGATATAAGTGTTGTTGATGTTGAAATAGGTCAAGTACTAGTATAGTACTATTAGTACAAGTACAAGCTCACTAAAATAAAAAAAAGACTCTTAGCCTAAATTAAACATATAAACAAGTTAGGAAATAAGATTATGAAACACTTAAATTGCTTCCTTGGTTAGATGACTAATTGATTCCAAAATATATTTTGAAGATCTTTTAAGAATTAAGATATACTAAAATGTTCTAGATACACTGAAGATATTCTAAGAGTATGAAACACAAAATAACAGGATTTATCGTGATCAAGCCATTAAAATACTGTTTATATTATTCTGTGGGAGTTCTGTGAGGAGGCATTTATTATCAAGATTATGAAACTGTGGCAAAATAAATAAGAAAACATCTTCATATGTTTGGTTAAACATTGAAACTGTTCATTTTTATGCAATAGACCTTAGATAGAGTTTTGGCACATGTAAAAAATAAGGTTCCCAACCTATATTAAATTAGATTTTACTGAGCTAGTTTATTATCAAATATTATTTAGTAAATTGTTTTTAAAATTTCAAAAGAAGTAGAATGAGGAAGGGGAGAGAAATTAGGAAGCATATTTAAAAAAAAAAATGATTGGGTAAAAACAAAATTTGTTTAGGATAGTTTTGAATTAATTTTGACCTAAGAACTGATTGTATAGGAACCAATTTTCCCAAATTTGAGAAATATCCAATCACTTATTATTTCAAAACCAACTCCACTATACCTAGTTATCTTGTTTTTAAAGACTTAAGACTTCACTTTTGAACCGTAGGGAGTTCATAGATGTGTCCCATGGAGGGTGAAGTATGTCAATCTAGGGGTGTTACCAGCAGTCATGGTATAGACCAAGGCTTTGTAGAAGCTTCCTATGTTCTATGCATCAAGGGGGAGTGTTGTGTGAGTGGCTGAGGTGGCCCTACATAGATGCAGAGTAACAACATGTAAGTTGAATGAAGAAGATGATGCCTCTTCTATCGGAGATGGGGGTATTTAGAGTAGTGTAGTCCCTCTCAAGCGTGGGAGAGAGGGTGAAAAGCTGTCACCTGCCAGCGCATGCTGATCCCACTGTTTGTATGCAGGGACAACAGTGCATGGGGAAGAAGAAAGGGGATCCTATGCTGCCCTTTAGAAGAATCTAGAATTGTGCTCTTAAGAGTGGACCCAACTGGATGGGCCTATGGATGTGGGCCAGCCAGAACAGAAGCGCCCCAGCTTGGTAGCTTGTGGAGTCCGGGTGCCAAGATGTATGACAACTTAGGCTGGCTATCCGTAGTGTGTAGTAATCAAAGCAAGATATAATATGACCGATCGGTAATGCGTCGTCCTTCATGTCTTGTTTATTTGTCTTTAAGTATGAGTTGTCTGGTCAGCAAGGTTTGAGTGCTTCAAGAGAATCTCCTATTCTTAACTTGCAATTGTGTTGGAGTTTTGGCTGGTCGGGGAATTGAGTGTTTGTAGTTGAAGTCTTCAGTTTGTTGACTTGCAAATATGCTGATGTTCTGACCGGTGTTCATAGTTTTTGTGCTTGGTTGAGTAAATGCTGGCCAGCAACCTTCATCTGGTGTCATTATATTCGTCTTATAAATCTTGCGGGTCCAGGATTGTGTGCTTGTTGACCAGTTGGCATAAAAGATAGTAGATCCTTTGCAATAGCCTTCTGACGTCATAATCAATTTGAATTGTGAAATTTATTAAGTTGATCTTACTGCTCATAGGGTCCACTAGTATTGGGAAAAAGAATCAAGATGTAATAGAGAATTATTTTACAAGGGCCCCACATCATAAGATAGAAAGAAATTAAGACTCTCTAAGTCTTCTTGCTCGGGTAACATGTTCAAAGTGGCGTCATGATCACAATAATAAGTATATCGACGGGTATAAAAGTTGTGATCATTAGATAATAAAAAATATGCTGATCGGAATAAAACTCGTGAACCTCAAATAATGAGAAGAATGCTGACCGGAAAGTGTAATGATCGTCAAATAATAGGAAAACCAGAAGGTAGTTGCAGGCTTCTAGAGTAAAATGATGTTGCGAGAGAGACAAGGTGGAGATTTTGATGATAAGTATTTATCCCCTTCCTCTATAACCAACATTGTTGGTGACATATTCTTTGATGTCCAATTGCTCAGATATGTTGCTCTATGATCATGACCTGCAATAGCTAAAATAATAGCATTTAAATGATAATAAAAATGTGCCTAGATGGGAAGTTGGCCAGACGCCGATCATCTAGGACTTTTGCCAAAGGGTAGCACATCCCGGACATGTTTTGCCTGGATGGAAAAGCATCATCCAGGACTTTGTTTGCCGAGAGGTGACACATCCCGGACTTGTTTTTCCTAGATGGAAAAACATCATCCAAAACTTTGTTTAATGACGTTTTTGTCCCGAGTTACCGATCTTCACGTTTTTTACCTCGGCTAGCGGTCTTCATAATTACCGAGGGTGAGAACTGATTCGGCCTTCACAGGGGGTTTATAATAGACGTCCTAGAATTATGAGGGCAGCAAATTGCAAGTGGACTTTGTGTCTAATAATTGTTAGGCAGCTCATGAAATTTGTAATCAAATGAGAACTATATATATGCTAGTGAAGAGATACTCTTACTGGATATCGAAATTGAAAACTAACCATCTGAATGTGGTTGGATACTTAGAGTGTAAATGTTGGCCGATCAACTTTGAATATGTTGATAATTACCGACCTGAACTCTTTTGTTCCGATCAGAACCCATCGACATTGAATCTGGTGGGCAGATGGATAAACAATTATCGGCCGGTCAAGCTATTTCACAAAGAGGAAGGAGGAATGGGTCTTAAAACCCCCTCAAAACGTCCCGCTGGTCGGCATGGCAAATGATTTGACGACGCTAGCCACCAACCTTATTAACGATGGCAAATGATTTTTAACCGATCAGATGCCCACCCCTGAAAATTCGTTACCGTTTGGCATGGCTGAAGCTGTCATCACCGACAAAGGTGTTTCCTTTTGCCCATTACTCAGTTGCCCAACCAAACTGATCGAAAACCCAATAGTAGGTTTCACAATAAGATGGGGAGCCGACACAACAGCAGCACCATGCCAGAAATTTCCATGCCCCAGAGGCATGAAGCTTGAGCTCCAACTTATGTCAAAGTATGCTCGATCCAATATTTGAACTCCAGAAGATTTGCAAACAGCTTAATCCACCCCAACCCCTTGCAAAGAAGCAACCGTTGTTTTCTCCTTGAACTAAACCATCACTGACAGAAGAACCAGGTCGACCTACTAGATCAGAGCACCGTTTCGGTCGCCCTCAGAAAATGCCATCACTGGTCGTCTCTCAAATTAGAATGCCAAGACGGTCGCCTCTCAAATTAGAGCACCGCTGCCGACTAGTTGCCTATTAGAGATTAAAATAGGAAACTTCAAACAAAGAGCATGAAAGCATAACACCAGTGTTCAATGTCGATGGATCTAGAAACAAACCCCAAACGAAGGCAGACCCACGTGGAAAAGCACAAGAAGAAAAAATTGAATCCATAAAACGTTTGTTGTTACCATAAACAAAGCAAAGAGAAGTTGAAGTGATGAATTTGAATTAATAAAGTTGCGGGGCCTGTGAAGAATTGTTTCAAGAAAATGCATTAAAAATATTGTCTAAAGCTTTAATGGCAAACAAAGTATTGGTTAGATGTGCAACTAATGTGGAGTTTATAAGGCCTTAGGCACTCCTAACCTTTGAGCTAGCTTTTGGGATGGTGTATTCCAAGATTCTTTACATGGTATCAGAGCTTGAGCCCTCACCGCCTCCCACTTTAAAGTGGAATTAAAATAAAAAAAAAGCACAAAAGGTAAACCAAAAATTAGGCCTGTGCAATTCCACGCTTCTAGCCCAAAGGGCTCTTGCGTGAGGGGGCGTGATGAGATATATAGTCCCATATTGGTTAGATGTGCAACTAATGTGGAGTTTATAAAACCTTGGGCACTCCCAACCTTTGAGCTAGCTTTTTGGGATGATGTATCCCAAGATTCTTTACACAAAGCCACGTGACTTTTTGTCTGGAGGTCGTT